CAGGGCTCAGACCCAGTGAAGCTTCTCTGAATTGTTTCCAAGTGAATAGTATCTCTCCTTTGTGAAAATGACCAGAATTGGACACTGACGTGGAGTGCCTGCTGAAACTCAAGCAACCTCACTGCTTGTTTATAAATCCCTGCAACCTACCAGCTACTCAATTGTCCAGATATTAAAGGGGAGGATTCTATCATCATTCCATACCCATTCCTCCCTCAGCCAATTCAAACTAGCCCATTTCATATTCCTGATGTCCATTTCCAATCTGTTAACAATCCTTCATATTTGTCAATGTTCCTGTGCTATTATCTGCCCAACTTGGTAAAGTTACCATAGTCCCAGAGGGTGATTGGGCTGCTTTCTCATTAGAGACAGGTAACTGGAGGTGGTTTAACCTGAGGGTCAGCATGCCTCAGGTGAAGGGCAAGGTTGAAAAGGCAGGACCTTCACAGTAACCTCAGCTGGTGCAGGAATTGAACCCATGCTGTTGGCATTACTCTACATGGTAAACCAGCTGCCATGACAATGGTGCCAACTGACAGTCATCTGCCCAACTATGTGGTGAATCCTCCTGGAGTCATCTGCTCATTGCACCACGTTTGCTGCTCCATCACTCACTCTCTCTCTCTCTAGGTGGTGGGTGAAAATTTGACAATGCTATATTTGGGTCATGATCACACATGAGAAACAACAAGACCCTTGTTCTACTCAATTCAAAAGATACCCACAGCAGGCTATACGGAACTAGACAATGGTCAATCTCCTATTCCTTAGCCTGAGCCCCACTGAGCAAATGGCTTCTAACACACTGGTTTGGAGCACACATCGACCCCAAAAGCCCACACTGACCTTGGAGACGCTGGATCTGTTTGACAAAGTTTTCAGTTTGTTGCACATTGGCCAATCTCTGCTCCTCCAGCAACCCTGCAGTGTTTAGAAAATAAGAAGTCATCTGTTGGATGGGCCAGACACAAAGTAAAGCTCCCTCTACACCATCCCATCAACGTTTCCAGGACAGGTACACTTTGGAGTTAGGTACAAAGTAAATCTCCATCTACACTATCGCATCAAACACTCCCATAGTAGGAACAGCATAGATCAGATACAGGGTAAAGCTCCATCAACACTATCCCATCAATCAATCTCAAGGCAGGTGGAGGATGGGATAGGTAAAATCACCATAGCAAAGAGGCCCACTGTCTCGTTAGAGAGAGACAATTGATACTGATTTAACATGGGGTTCAGCACGCTTCAGGTAAGGACAGAAGTTGAGAAGGCAAGACCTTCATGGTAACCTCAGCACGTACAAGAATTGAACCCATGCTGTTGGCATTACTCTACATCAGAAACCAGGTAACCAGCCAACTGAGTTAACTGACTCCCACAGGTTAGATATAGTGTAATAAAAACCAAACACATGCTGGAACTATTCGATATCTCAGGCAGCATCTGTGAAGAGAAACAGAGTCAATGTTTCAAGTGGAAATGAAGACCAAGTTGACCCTCCCTTTCATCCAATCCCCCTAAAGATACACCTTAGCTTCCACAATTCCCGGCACCCAAGGAACTCCTGCCCTGTTCCATACCCCAGAAACGTACCTGTCCCCAACATCCACCCCCTTAACCACATCTTGTCTCTTAGAAACACCGCTCCCAATGATGTGCACTATCAACCCTCTCTGCAACTTCCTTGCCCAGGACCACTGCACCATTTCTCCCACCAGCATTGGCTTCACCCATTCCCAGCACTGAGCACCAAGTGTACACAGTCTGGCCTCGCCTTTCAACAGTGCTTTCAGTTTTTCATAAATCCACCTACCTTGTAAATCCAGGTAGTTCTTCTGATGTCGGGAAGCCTGCTCCTGAGATTCCTCCAACTCCTTTTGTAGCTGCTTAATTTGTGACCTCAATACATCCAATTCCAACAAGTCTTTCATATTATCAGTCATTGTTATAGTCCCAGACCTCACACCAAATACTTCAGGAGCACTTACTAATTGGTCATAACATTTGTGGACACATGTCATCACATCATTTAGATCCACACTGGCTGCCATCACACCAGACACTGTGGGGTCAACTGCCTTAGTTTCAGATGGTGTAAGATTAGTTGACTTAACCTTAAATGATTTAGGATCACCCAGCATGACCTCAGACAGTTTGGAATGCACTGACATGACCTCAGACAGTTTGGAATCCACTGACGTGACCTCAGCAGGTTTAGGATCCATTGACTTGACCTCAGTAGGTATGGGATCCATTGACTTGACCACAGCTGGTTTGGGATCCATTGACATGACCACAGCTGGTTTGGGAACCATTGACATGACCTCAGCTGGTTTGGGATCCATTGACATGACCACAGATGGTTTGGGATCCATTGACATGACCACAGATGGTTTGGGATCCATTGATTTGACCTCAGCTAGTTTGGGATCCACTGACTTGACCACAGACGGCTTGGGATCCACTGGCTTGACCTCATCTGGTTCACAATCAATTGATTTGATCACAGATGGTTTGGGATCCATTGACTTGACCTCAGCTGGTTTGGATTCCATTGACTTGACCTCAGCGGATGTGGGATCCATTGACTTGAATTCAGCTGGTTTGAAATCAGCTGACTTAACCTTGGAAGGTTTGGGATCAGCTGGCTTTATCTCTGATCTTCTAGGATCCACTGATTTTACATCAGATAGTTTAGGTTCAATCACCTTGACCTCAGAAAGTTTAGGATCAACTACCTTAGCCTCAGATGGTTTGAGATCAAATGATATGACCTCAGAAGGTTTTGGATCAATTACCTTAACTTCAGATAGTTTAGAGTCAACTGACTTGTCCAGGCATGGCTTGGGATCAGCTGACATGACTTTGGATACGTTGGAATTGGCTGATTTGACCTCATATATTTTAGAATTAAATGCCTTGCTCTCAGATGGTTTGGGATCAGCTGACATGACCGTTGATATTTTGAGATCAGCTGGCTTGACTTCAGTTGGTTTGACATCAATTAAGTTGACCGCAGAGGGTTTGGGAACAGTTGATTTGAGTTCAGATGGTTTGAGATCATCTGGTTTGTCCTCAGACGGTGTGGAATCAACTGTTTTGACCTCAAATGGTCTAGAATCAGGTTGCTTTGCCTCATATAGTTCAGGATCAACAGACTTGTCCATGTATGGTTTCGGAACAGTTGACTTGACATCTGGTTGTTTGGGATCAAATAACTCAATCACTGATGGTTTGGGATCAGGTCCCTTGACCTCAGCTGGTTTTGAATCATCTAACTTGACTTCAGACACCTTGGAAATGACTGGCTGGACAGCTGATTGAGTGGATTTGATAGCGGATGGTTTGGGATCGGCTAACATCACCTCGGTTGGTTTTGAATTGGCTATATTGATCTCAGACACTTTGGGAATGGCTGAGTTGATGTCTGATGGCTTGGAATCAGTTGACATGACCTCAGACAGTATTTGATCAGCACTATTGACCTCAGAAACATTGGACTTGGTTGAATTGACCACAATCGGGGTAATTGATGTCATCTCAGTTACTGGAATATCAGCTGACTTCATACACGACTCTGTGTCACTTGTTACGGTGCTTGATGTTGATTCACATGATTTAGTTTCACACGACAGCAAATCACCTAAGGAGACCAGAAAGAGTAATAAGCAAACTTCCAATATAAAGGGTATTCTCAGAGCACCAATCTCTTATATCACAGCATGCCCACAGCCTGTCTCTTACTAGACAATGTGCCCAGAGCCTCTCCCTCACTGGACAATGTGCCCACAGCCTCTCCATCACTGGACAATGTGCCCAGAGCCTCCACTTCACTGGACTGAATGCTTAACCTGACCTCGAACACTGACTAGTCTAATATCCTTGGTTCAACAGCACTGACAGGGCTTGAACCTTAACAAGGTGCCTACAGAAGATGCAGCAAGACAGGGAAATTGAGAGATATCACGCATTCCTTCACGCTGTACACAGAGCATTGTTATATATGCACACTCCCTTGCGCACAGAGGAGTGTGTTCACTGTCCATACTGGCCTTTACTTGCAGCAGGATATTGTATTGTGCTGGCAAGAATGAGCTCCAGCATACAGAATGAATCATTTGTGTTTCATAATATATCTGAGAATGCACAACTAAGTCATTCAGCTGCTTAATTTTCAATTTGACACCATCAGAAAATAAACTACTGTCCGATTAACCAGCAATGTTTCACCAGAGAGCAAGATTCTGAATTGCAGAAGCTCTGCTTCACTCTTTAGCCTCCCTTTGCTGAACCTATTCTATGAGTATTTGCTGGGGAGAGAATAGAGTGACCTTTACTCGGCATCTAATCCCATGCTGTAGCTGTCCTGGGAGCGCTGATGGGTCAGTTTATTGGGGCTTTTACGGTGCAGTGACAGTGTCCCTACCTCAGGGCCAGGGTTCTATGTTCCCACTTATGTCAAGTCCCACTTATGTCAGAGGTGTGTAATAACAACTCTGAGCAGGTTGTTTTAAAAAATATGATTATAGATGGAGCTTTAGTCTGTATCTAATCCCATCTGTAGCTGTCCCAGCAGGGCTTGTTGAGGACAGTGTAGAGTGAGCTATATTCTGCATCTAACACCAAACTTCACCTGCCCCAGGAGTTTTTGATATAGAGGAGTAGAATGAATTTTCCCAAGGATTGATCCAGTGTATGTACAATATATGGAGAAGAGAGGTAGGGAGAAACCAGGAAAGTATATCGGGGCATATCCAGATTCAGGAAGTTCAGTTTGGATGTTGGGGATGACATTGTTTCTTGGGTTAAACACCACTGCCATATCATAAAGCCTAAGTGCTTCGTTATCTATTAGTCTATGTAATAAAATATAACAAAGACTGGGTTGTTGTTGAGACAAATGTCTTGAAGTTTATTAGCAATACTATTTACATTGTTGTGAGATCCCAGATTTACATGGTCTGGGTTCTATGCTTACAGATATTACGGCTACTTTACATGACTAACAGAACATATAGTTGACTAACTGACTGAATATTTCACTGATCCCATAGCACTGTGATAGCTGAAGATGAGGTGAGGGTCTTTATATTGGAGCATTAAATGTCATGATCTCATCTAACTGTCTCTGGTCTAGAATCTATGCATTGATACAACAGTGAGGATAGTAGACTATCCAGCTCAGAAGAATGAGAGACTGGGGGACGTGAAGTGGTGAATGGGTAGTCAGTGACAGTGAAGGTTTGTGACAGGTAATGTGGTGGTTTTAACGAAGAACAGGACCTGGGTTTGAGGTTCCGCTCAGAATCCTTATAAAGATTTTCCAATGGTAATGTGATCAAATTCCCAAAAGGGCTATTCAATCTCAGCTCACTTTTCTCTAGAGCTTATTTATTAAGGGCTTATATTTTCTGGATATGCTTCCAATCTTCTTTTAAAAGCAAAACACCACAGTTGCTGACAATCTGAAATAAAAACAAAAAGTTCTGAAAAAGTGTCATACCAGACTTAAAACATTGACTCTGCTTCTCTCTCCATGGATGCTGCCAGACCTGCTGAGTTTCTCCAGCAATTTCAGCAATTTTATTCCAAGTCTCTTTTGCCCATCTCCCAGCTCACAATTGTCAGAGAAGCCATTGATCTCTCCATGAGTTTAAATAGAGTTATACAGATACAGCACAGAAACAGACCCTTCCATCCAATCGTCCATGCTGACCAGATATCCTAAATAAATCTAGTCCCAATTGCCAGCATTTGGCCCATAACCCTCTACATCCTTCCTATTCATATACTCATCTAGATACCTGTTATAATTGTACCAGCCTCCACCATTTCCTCTGGCAGCTCATTCCATACACACATCACCCTCTGCGTGATAAAGTTGCCCCTTAGGTCCCTTCTAAATCTTTTAAATCTTTCCTCTCTCACCTTAACCTAATGCCCTCTAGTTTTGGACTCCCCACCCTGGGAAAAAGATCTTCGCTGTTCACCCTATCCATGTCCCTTATGATTTTATAAACCTCTATAAGGTCATCCCTCAGCCTCCGACACTGTGACCAACCCTTGTTTAAGAGAGACTGCCACTGGTCTTGTGCTATTTTCATGCTCAATTCCATACGTTCTCACTGGGAGCACTCAGCGCAGGATTGTCACCGAAACTTCACTTCCCAGATTCCAACCTGCAGCCCAGGAACACAGTGATATTTTCACTATAGTGTGATCTCTCAAAACTTAAAGGCAGAGGACTGAGTACAGCGTAAACAGTTGTCTGTGTCCTGATCGATGGAAGGGATAGAAATATACAGAATGAATAGGAGAGAGTCCAGACTGGGAGCACACACACACCTGTGGCACTGCTATTTGAGATGAGTGTGTGCGTAAAGGGAAGAAAGAGAAAATAAATGTGCACCCATGAGAGCACATGTGCGGCAAGCAAGTGAGATATTGATCCTGCTCCACATCCTTTGGCGATAGAAAGGAATATGAGTATTATTTTTACACTCCTGTCAGTGGGGAGACCCCATGACAGGCTCCTGCTCAGCTGTCTGTACTTCTATCATTCACTAGGATGAGGCAGCACCACAGAATGTTATTCATGAGGTTTGATGTTAATATCCTGCTTACAGATTTTCCTTCAGTTTAGAAAGCTTGGCTGCCACCCCCAATAAGTGAACTTAATGGGTTCCATGCAGCATACATGGCAGAAGCTGCGATCACAAGCATAGCTTTGATCAAGGGGGAAGAGTATGGGCAAGGGTATAGCAGAGTGTGTGTTCATACATGTGGTGGTTACCATGGCTTGGCATGCAATACACTATAAATCACAGCACTTCAGTCACTGTTCACGTATATGACAGCAACTGCACACAAAGCAAGATCCCACCAACATGTTCAGCTTAGTTCATTTTCCTGATGGTGTAGAACTCACTCCGTACTGGCCCTTAGGCACTGCAGTGCACCCTCTCTACTGACCCTTAGACAGTGCAATGCCCCCTGCATACTGCCCCATAGTGCAGTGCACCCTCCGTACTGCCCCTTGGACAGTGCAGTGCACCC